TGCAGTGACCCAGTCCTCATCACAGTGTTGAGGCTGCAGTGCATTAGTCCAGATGTGGGAGCTGAGGCTGCAGGGAATGTGCTGTGGATGCTGTTTGACCTGTGTGAAATTTGAAATCCCTCTCTGCCCCCCGTGCATTCTGCCTGAGCCTGCTGAACACCTCTCTTTCCTTTTTTTACACGGAAAGAACCTGCAGCAGGTCCCACCCGAGGTCAGGCTGTGAGGCCGTGCCTGTGGCTGCAGTCATGTTCCCATTAGAACTCTGCTCACGCCTTCCTCAGCTGCTGCTTCCTCTGGCCTTTCTCCCTTCATGTTCCGGGCTCATTCTGCCCCAAAAGTGCTTTTCTGGGATCTTTGACCTGCTCATGTTTAGAACAAAACCACTCTCTCTGCTCTCATGTATTTGGAGGGCAGAAGGAATATTTCGGTGCTCCAGCAAAGGCACAGAACACTTGGGTATTTTTGTGCAGACCAGATTATTTTTTTCCTCCTTGTTTTTAAATAAGCTGGTGCCTGGAAAGAAATCTTCCTAGATGTTTCCTGGGCTGGTTTCCCACCTCCCCGACTCCAGACTCTCCTGGAGCTGCTGTGAGCTGCCCAGAGCTGTGACTGAGCACCCCTGCTGGCACAAGGGACAGGCTGGGAGGTCCTGGGTGTTTCTTCTTCCATTCCAGCCACCCGGCTGGCTTTGCCTGCCCGTCCCCCATCTCATCATCCTCACCTAAGCTTCCCCAGTGTGCAGAGCTGTGCCAGCAGCCCTGTCCATGGTCCAGGACATTCTTTTTCCATGAGGAAATGTCTCAATTAGCAAATTGGAAACCTTCGAAAGCAATGACCGTGTGTGTTTGCGTGCAGTAAAACCTGGGCAGAGAAATGAAAAACCCTGGAATATTCTTCCCTGATCCAGCCTGTGCCAGCCAGGCACATCCATCTGAGGAAGCCTAGCAGGTTGCCAGAACGCTTCTTTTCCCTTTTCAATAGGTGTGAGGTGATTGTGGCCGTGGAGGGAAGCTCTCCTGTGCTGCCCATTCTTCTGTGCTTGCTCCTGCCCAGCTCCCCGGGGCTGGAGCTGCTGGGGGAGCAGGCTCAGGGTGGCCTCAGCCCAGTGTGAGTCCTGCAGCACATCCCTGCCTCTGGCTGTGCACCGAGGGGGCTTTGGGCTGTCTTTTCCTGACACTGCCTGCACTGCAGAAGCTGCTCAGGATTGGTGCCAGGCTTCCCCAGCAGAGCCAGTGTTTGTTTTGGCATCTTGTGCCATCTCCTTACGTGGCCTCAGTCCAAGCTCTGACCACCCTGTGCTCCCTGGCACTGATGAAAATCCTTGCAAGCACCTGAAGTCCTTGAAATCCCTGAATGTGTGCTGCCAGGATGCTGCTGCCTGGCAATCTGTGGCTTCCAGTGGAGCAGCTGCAGCCTCCCATGGGCCTGCCCCACGTGCTGTGCCCAGGGCAGGGCTCTGTCCCTCTGTCCCCTCCTCAGCACGTCACTGCTGAGCTCGGGGCTGTCCCAGAGCCCCACAGTGCTCTCAGCAGCCAGCAGTGAGCAGATGCACTTAATCCCTGGCTTTGATCCTGCATCTTGAGTGAGCTGGGAACGCCTTTCAAGTTAGATTTTTTTGATGGAAAATTGGGTTTTTGAAGTGAGTAACTTCCTGTTGTCAGAAGGGCTGTGCTTTCCACAGAAATCTTTGGTGGGGAACTTTTTTTGTCTCTTTAGAAGAGCTGAGTGCCTGAAACTGGACTGGTGTGTGTAAATGAGAAACCTCCTCCCAGTGCTCCCCTTTCCTCTGAGCTGGTTTTACATCTAAAGCCTCCAGCAGCCTGGCTTCCCTGTGGATGCTCTGCAATGATCCGTGCACAGTGTATTACACACCTCCAGATGTTTTAGGAACCATCTTTAATCCCTTTAATGCATGTGATGGGTTTATTTGGTGCATCTTTGTGCAGCCCCGTTTGTTTATGTCATAAATGAGGATTCCAGGGTGAGCAGTTCTGGATTTAAGCAGGGACCACACGGGTGCCAGGCAGGATGGGGCAGAGTGCTGGACTGTGCCCAGGAGCTCTGTGCAGCTGGGATGGCAGGGGTGATGATGGCAGGGGTG